ATGTAATGAGTAAAAGTAAAAAGTACGCTGACAAATAATTACTCAAGTAAAGTAATTTCTACTTAAGTACAGTAACAAAGTTTTAGTACTTAGTTACTTTACAACTCTGATTTTGGGGAAAAGCTTTGTGCAGCCTTGATATATGTATATAAACTGAAACAGCTGGACTAGTGCATCCTAAATTTAACATCCATTCATTCTTTTAATACAACAGTCATTTCTGCAGTTTTTGGGGAGGTCACCTCCTAATAAATGTCCTTACAGAAAATCTAACTGCTCRTTTTAAATTGTTACTTTCACTTTTAATACTTAACTACAACAAATATCACATACTTTAARACTTTTACTCAAGTAATATTCWTAAAGGAGAYTTTAACTTTTACCAAAGTAAGTTTTTGGTACCCAAGTATCACTTTGTGGTACTTTATACAGCTCTGCTGATGACATCATTATAAAGCATCATAGTRCACATCAATATATTCACATTGACCCAGGCTTGGTTCAGTTCATATTCTGGAAACTTTATTGATAAATGTACATCAGGAAAACAAGACAGCAAGTTGTTAATGAGCTTCAAGCTGCTTCAGCTRGACCCTCCATCACACCGTCATCAGCCGAGGCTCTCAGCCGAAGCTGTGCTAGCTGCTGGAGCTACATGGTGAAGTGTCTGGTGTAGTCGTACTCTATCGTGGGAATAACAGCCTGAACAAACTTCAGGAAGATCAGAAGGTACCTGAGAGTCTGGGTCAAGGACACAAGGTGGTGGAAGATGATGTCATCAGGTCAGGGGTGTGGCCTAACAATCAGARTAGCTTTTAGCTTACCTTTTGCTGATTTAAGTTAACAATTTTCAACTGTTAGCTTTTACCTAGCATTTTACTGTTCAGTTCCTAGCTGCTATTTAGCTACAGTGGCTTTTAACTAGAAATAAAGTACTTTTAGCTTGTAGTTAGCCTTCTGTAACTTTTAGTTTAGTTATCATTCTGATGCTTTTAGCTAAAAGTACTCAAATGATAGCTGAAATAAGAATGTAGCTAAACAGCAGCAAGAAATTGAACAGTAAAAAGGCTAGTTAAAAGCTAAAAGTAGCTAAAACAGTTAACGTGAGTAAAATGATAAAAGAAACTCAACTTACTCTTAAAAGAAACAAGGTTAACAAAAAGGAGCAAAACACCAGTTAAAGGGATCAATGATTAGTTTTAACATTAGACTTTATTTAATAAACACATATTT